TCGCCAGCAACACTGACCAACTCCTACTGCACACTCGCGCAGGAATGACGCATTTGTCCACCGAAATACGCACCTTTGCACTCGACGTTCTCGAATGGCTACTTGCTTCGGCTGGCGACGAAGTAGTGAGCTGCGCTGGGGGTTGGGTCAAGACGCTGAAATGCTTCATGAGCTTGCTGGGCTGGAAAGTCGAGACATCCGGCAACTGGACAGCGCCGAAATCATTCGGAAAGTCTTCTGGAGATTCCAAGATCCAGGTCAAGCAAATGAACGCTCTCACATCATTTCTCAGAGCCGGATTGTTGCATTCTCAGACCGCAATGCAAGTTGGAAATGGAGCCGATTCTTTCCCGCTATGGCAAACGGAGCATCACATGCTGTCGGAAAGATCGAACGTTTATGCACACTTGAATCTTTTTGGCGCGCACAGGGACGAAGAAGCAGAAATGTATGAGGATAGAGAGGACCGGCAACGAGTTTTCCATGATCGGGCAGAAGCGGCCATCGTCGCTGGGTTGGAGCAAGCGACAAAAGGTGGTGGAGAGCAGGGCAGGGCAGCAGCTTCGCTACGGAAGGTTGTAAAGGAGGGCATGATCGATTATCGTACATAGCAGCATGCAAGTGAACAATTCAACAGTCTCCACACTCGACTGACTTGATGACTCGCCCCACAGCGAGAAAGACCACGCTAGCTACAGCCCTGGACAATAATGCGAGACAAATCAACACGAGACAAATGGGTAGTAGGTACAAAGTAATCGAGGGACCAATCAGCAGGGCACATCATGAAGCTGTGGTTTCAGCTTGTAACAAGTTCTAAATAAAGCTGTAATGAAGCTGTAGTTTCAGCTTGTAACAAGTTCTAAATGAAGCTGTAATAAAGCTGTAGTTTCAGCTTGTAACAAGTTCTAAATGAAGCTGTAATAAAGCTGTAGTTTCAGCTTGTAACAAGCTCTAAACGAAGCTAGAAATCTCGGATCTATGAGAACCTGATACAGCAATAAGACTCTATATAAACCAAGCAGATAGCTCAGTAAATAGTTAGACAATTCAAGTATTACTTTCACCAACACACCTTCTTACTTTAACCTCAATTTTTCACAAAAAGCTTCACTAGCTAGCTTAGTAATATATACATTACTAGCCTGAAGTAGTATAGTCGATTAGTACCATTACGTAAACAGGTCTTAGTGACAGCTTGGCTAACGCCATTTCCTAACTCAGCACTCACTACATATCTCTTTCACCAACCAATCAATAAAGGCTGTTAGCGCAGTGCGTAGCCAGCATGGAGAGGGATCAGGTACGCTTTCATAACGTCTACTCGTATTCAAATGTAGCTTACAAGTCCCAGGCCGCTGTGAAGAACGAGTTCGGCGGCAATGACGACATCTTGCTCGACGAGGAGGCGCAAGAAGACGCGGCCTCGTACTACCCACGCCTGAAGCTGTCGACGCCCACCAAGTCAGTACGTAGCCTTGGCTACTTTATGAGTAAGCTGTAACAGCAACAATTGCTTACTGTGCTAATGCTATACAGAGGGCCTTGATGAGGAACTCATAGACATAAATCCTGAATACCAACGTGAGGTTGTGTGGACTGGTACGTATGCCCACCGCTTGTCCAGACGTCACTAATAGTGCGCACAGACGAACGCATGACAGGTCTTATAGACAGTTTGATGGAGAACTACTATGTCCCACCTATCATCCTCAACAGGAAAACACTACCTGCGGAGAACGGGCAACCAAAACATGTCTATGTGTGCGTTGACGGAAAGCAGCGCCTATCCTCAGTAAAAGCCTTCATCGAAGGCAAAATTCCCTGTCATGACCATCGCGGCGAGAAATGGTATTTTTGCGACGCTGGTGGCAACCGGCGGAAGAAAATACTGGCAGAAACAGACCAACACAACTTTATGCGTAAAGAATTTGTTTCGTTTGAGTTTAAAGACCTATCGCCAGAACAGGAGGAAGACTTGTTCTCACGAGTTCAAATGGGCGTTCAGCTGACCGTTGCTGAAAAGATGCGCGCTCGTACGGGCCCATGGTAAGAACACTATCCGAACTGCATGTGAAACATACTGACATCGAATTGTAGGCAAGAGCTAGCGAGATGCTACGTGGAAGACTTCCCAGCAGTCTACAGTCTTCTCAAGGATCGGACACGCGCAAAAGACTTCCAATTGACGCTGTCTTGTTTCAGTCAAATCCTCGAATGTCAATGCCCCACAAATGCTAGTGGCACCCCGACGATGAAGACTAGTCATACCCATCTGCCGAAGCTATTGGACAACAAAGGCGCCGTTGACGATGCTGCAAAGTCTCACCTCGCAAGCGTATGGAATACATTCAAGGATCTCATTAATTTAGATTCGAATGTGTTTACTAACGCTAACAAGACTTTAAGAGGTGTGCAGACCTTTGCACCAGTCGAGATGGTAGCTGTCACAGTTCTCATCTCAACGTACTCGGAGTCAAGAAATAATAAACTACTACTCGGCGACATTAAACATCTACGAGATGAACTCCGAGAAAATTTTGTTGATTTGCGCTTAAACGTTGGTTGTTGGAAATTCATCTGGGAATACATATATAACCTGGAGTCTATACGAGGCGCGGTCGACAGATCTACAATTGATCGCAGCGTCAACCCCGTCAGCGCTCCTACACCGCGAGCTGAAAAGCCGGAGTCCACACTAAAAAGAGGACAGCCGACAAAGCCACCAAATATGCTGCCTGATCAGGATTCTCCGATGGATATCAAGCAAGAGCACACGAGCGCCAGCGCGATGCCATCTGAAGATCCGCGTCTGCTAAAACGCCAACGTATTGATCCTGGGCCAACGCTTAGGCTGGACACTGCTTCTTCCATGGACACAGGTCTTATGTCGCCGGCAATATCCCCACCAACGCAATTCCGAGGATTGCCAGCACAAGCCCCAGCAGGTCCTTCGGCACATAAGCCGACCACGCAGAAGGCGCGTAGAACACCCGCAAATAAGCGCCCACCTCCTCCTGCACCGTTGAGGAAGAGTTCCTTGCCGAAAAGCAAGTCTGCCACACTGGTCGAGGATCAACATCGACCGTCTGAAGCAAACGCCTTCCGCGTACCTGTCGCGCCTATGGTAACTACTTCAGCTTTCCCTCCCATAGCCCCGAACCCCACAACGGTTACGGCATCATCATCATCATTAAATACAGCCCCACGAGCACTACCGCTGATGCCAAATGTTGCAAACCCGCAGCTAGGAGCAAAAAGATCAACCTTAATGCTGCTGCGGCATTTACAGTATATATACCCCTCTGCGACACCAAACCTTTCCAACATCAACTCTGAACAGTCTCCGCCCAACCTGGCGTACTCTCCCACCACATCCACTCCCACAGTCCCGCACCTCACCCAACCTTTGGCTTCAAGGACCTGGTTCCCCACAGGTGGTCCAATACGGTCACCCTCGGCCCAAGAGATTGTGAAGCCAAGCTCTCCAGCAAACGTTCCACCACATGCCCAACCAGTACTTGGACAACAGTACTCTCGCTCAGCAGCTCCACCAGCACGCACGCCCGCAAAGCTTACGAGTTTTATTGATCTCACAATCGATGACGACGATAACGACGACCCAGAAAATGCTCGACAGAACATCCTGTCTCAATTTGGAGCGAGGGCTTCACCAAGACATGAACAACAGACCTACACTCCTTACACCCCGCGGAAGCCACACGGCATAGGTAGTGCAGATCCCGACTGCAACAACCCGTATGGGAAAAGAAAATTGCATCAGTAGTACGAAGTGGGCGAGCATTGAGCTTTTGGTATTGCCTTTAGATAACTGGTTTGGAGACGGCGTTTACCTCTCCGGCATTGTATTGGGAAGGGTTTTTTTTGAGTGTAATTATCTCACTCATGACTTAGCGAGGCGTCAGGGAAGGCGGCCTTGTGTATAGATGCATATATTATCGAGTTCTTGTTATGCACCATACTGGGCAAATATAGTACAACTACTGTGTATCTCTGCTATATAATGCAGACAAACTCTCAATTGTGCCTATGAAAAGGCATACACGCAGGTCAGGATTCCGTGGTGGACCCGTCTTCTGTTGCTGCGTGCTGGTGTAGTGTTGCAATGCAATCCATTACCTAGCTTTGAACTAGAGCTAAGCTTCTCCCATCAGATTATGCGACACAGTTGTGATGTTGGAGAGCATAAACGTCAGCTATGACAGTCTGTGTTGGGTAGAATTTTATGCCGGCGAACTCTTAATAGCAAATGAATTCGGTCTGCTAGATAGTATCACGTAGCCGGTTTCATTGCGCCATGCAAATGTTCTAGACGAGCCTTTCGGCGCACCGCACTATCGCCTTTCTTCTGTATAGTTGGAGAGATTTTTTGTTGCATCTCCTCCTTCGGTCGACGTTGCTGAGTACCCTGGCCCTCCCTAGCTAATCTGGTTTGAAATTCTAGTTGGCGGTAGGGGCAGGTTCTGGCAGGTGTGTTGTTGTGTAGGGCTTGGTCGCGATCTATATTGAGTCGTGTTTTAGGTGTCGAGAATAGACTTGAACGTTAACAGTTTAGTAGATAGACTGTGGTATGGGTATATATATATATATATATATAAAGGATATTTAAAGGACAGAGTCTTCTACTGCGCGCTAGACAAATGCAAAGTGAAAGAGAACTATATACAAGACGACGTCCTCTACTGCGTTCCTCCCCTAGCTATCTCTTACTTACCATAATATCTACTAAACAAACGCAAAGTAAAAGAGAAAGATACAAAAAAGACGTCGTCTTCTACATTCTGCCTGACCTTTGCTAGAAATCTTGTAGTTGACTAGTATTATCAAGTTACGTTAACATGGACGTCTCTTTTGATTTGCTAGGCTCGCTAGGAGGGTTGGCTGGCGACGACCCACTCTGGCCTCCAGGGGAACAAAAAAAACACTTCCGGCCAACGCCACCAACGCCAAAACGAAGCAAAAGCAAAAAAAGAAACTGACTCTCCGACGGGGAATCGAACCCCGGTCTCCCGCGCTCGTTATTCAGAAGAATGACAAGCGGAAATCATGACCACTAGACCATCGAAGATTGATCGCTGTGAAGCGGATGGTTTGAATTATGAGAAAAACTCGGCTCAACCAGCCTATAAAGTGCTACCAAACCGGCAAATCCGCGTGAGGCAGGCCAAGGGAGTCAAGGCAAACCAGTTTCTAGCTCACGCTTACGGAAAAAAAAAACTGTGTTGAGAAGCGACAACTTAGTGAGTTGGTGGAACTTTGGAGCGGGTAACCACACAAGACAGATAATAGGTAATCACTCCAGAGTCCACGGAGAACCGATTTCTTTGTTCCGCATATTTATCCTAAGAGATGCAAGATGTATCTAATCAAACAACTACACGTTTCATTTGCAACAACTGAAATTTCTTTCCGATTTCACGAAGCAGAGACAGCGCTGGCCGGTCGGATATGTTCAGCAGGAGGATTATGAACACGGCCGCGAATTACTTCAGCGTAGGCATGTCAGTGGCATTCCAGTGGACGCAGACCACAGGCACTATTCGATAATCACGTAAAAAGGTACAAGACAAAAGGGATATGTATCGCCACATTCGAGCCGCTAATTCAGGTGCATCCTTAGCAGTAGATACCGGACGAGTTCGTTCTCACGCGCATATCCAGAAACAGTGAAGTTTCGGTGCCTTCTGCACAATTCCACTCGTCAAGAATCGTCCTCGGCTGCGCGTTGTTGGAGAGAGAAAGCTTGGGGCAGCGAGGAACTTTTCACTGTGTCGCTTAGTCAGCCGCGCTAAATTCTTTGCGTCTTCAAGCTTCTGGCGACCGACTTCTCTTCCTCAGCACACCATGGACACACTCGACAAGACGGACTGGGATGTCCTCATTGTAGGCACCGGCCTGCAACAGTCTCTTCTTGCTTTGTACGCACACTCCTCTGCCATCGCTTGTTCTACGCGTTCTGACTGACGCAGCACCTGAAGAGCCCTGTCGCGCTCAGGAAAGAAGATTCTCCACATCGATGAGAACGATTACTATGGCGGCGCCGAAGCTGCGTTTAGCCTTCAAGAAGTCGAATCATGGGTGGAGAGGGTAAACAAGGGTATGTGTCTCTTGCGCGCCCTGTAGAGCACAGCTAACTTTTCCAAGACCCCGCTTCTGCTGCGTTTTCCCAGGCTTCCTTTGAGAAGCCCACACCCGCCGAGTCCGACCCTCCCGCGCCGTCTTTGTCGCCTTCCAGAGCGTATAGCTTAGCGCTAAACCCACAAGTCATATACGCTCGATCGGCCTTGATTCAACGACTCATATCGTCGAAAGTGTACCGACAGCTCGAGTTCATGGCGGTTGGAAGTTGGTGGGTATACTCCCCGTCTGCGTCTGCGGGCGATGAAGACGCATCGGATTCTTCGAGTGAATCCTCGAAAACGAGTAAGCTTCTGAAGGTGCCGAACGGCCGGGAAGATGTCTTCCAGAACAGCGAGCTCGACTTTAAAGCCAAACGCGCGCTCATGAAGTTTCTACGCTTCATCACAGACTACGAGGAGCAAACTGAGGTTTGGGATGCGTGCCGCGACCAACCGTTTCCTACATTTCTGTCGGAACAGTTCAAGGTTCCCGTGGCTCTGCACGCACCGTTACTGGCCCTTACATTATCAAGTGCAAGCTCCAGCAATACAACTACCCAGTACGCGCTCCCTCGAGTCGCCAGACATCTGCGCTCCATCGGAACTTTAGGCGCTGGTTTCGGTGCTATCATCCCTAAATGGGGTGGCCTATCTGAAATCAGTCAGGTTGGTTGCCGTGCTTCGGCAGTTGGTGGTGCAGTATACGTTCTTGGTAAAGGACTCGGAGACATCAGCGATGATCAGACAGAAAGCCAAGGAGCAGCGTCTGGCATCAAGCTGTGCTTGAAAGATGGCGAGGCGATAACAGCGGGCTGGATTGTCGGTGAAAGCTCGCCCAACCAGCCATCAGAGCCATCATGCAAGACGATCACCATCGTATCCTCTCCACTCACATCCTTGTTTCCGCCCATAGCAGACGAAGCACCTCCGCCAGCCGCAGCCATTGTGTTTTTTCCATCAGGCTCGTTATCTATCCCAGATCCACCAGATGATCAGCAGGAACTTCCTCCCGTCTACATTAACATACATACTAGTGACACGGGCGAGTGTCCGCGTGGTCAATGTAAGTTTACTCGACTTCTTTTTTACCCTTACTGTTGTGATGATTTGTTCTAAAATACTTATCTACATTGTCTGAATTTCATTGACGACACATACACTCTGACAACCTCTATCTCCATCTACTCTTACCGTCAAATCTTAGGGTTGCAGACGGCTGACATATAAACAGGTGTACTCTACAGCTCTACGTCGCTAGCCGGCGAGAGAGGCTTCCAGCTCCTTCATCTTGCAACGGATGCGCTTCTGTCAAGCGTTGCTGAGACTCCTCCACCAACCATATTGTGCTCAACTCAATACCAACAGCGAGCAGAGGCAACTGATGACATAACCCCTGAGACGCCCAATGATCATGTCATCAACTTTGCTCCGACGCCTCTCAATCTTGCCTTCGATGACTCCATCCTTGACCGTGTCAAGCCTGTTTGGGAAAAGATTATGGGCGAAGACACGGGAGATTTCCTGGTGTTTGAGGATCGTGAAGCGTATGCAGATGATGATGAGTGATGTATGTGATTTCGGGTAATGATTGAAGTTGAGTCTACGCCTTTGCCTGCCCTATGCTACTCGGCTTCTCATAGAGATGGATCTTCTTCATGACACTTTCAACGATAAATATGATATAATGAACACTTGCAATAATACTGCTATCTTAAATTTTTCAAATTCAGTGTTATGTTCTGGTTTCATATTCTCTGATTCATAAGACCAAGACACAGCCGCGCCCCGGATATACGATGAGCGCCAAATCCTATACACCCTCCGTTACACTGCTCACGCGCTTGAACTCGCCCTCTTCTCCGCCTCGGCCTTTAAATCGCGATTAAAGCTTTCAAAGTTACTCTTCGTCTGCAATCCCCCACTCGAACCCTCCCTCACAAAATACGTGAGTGGGCCAGTAAAGTCTTCTTTCTGGAGCATCGTCGTGCCTCCTGGGATTGTCTGGCTTCTCTGCCAGTGGAACTCGTGCTGGCCTTCGAAGAGGCCGTAGAGGGATCCGAGCCATTTGAATGCCGCGAGTGAGTTTTCCTAGAGGACAAAAGGTTAATCGGGAAGGATTCGAGGGGGAGGCGAATGGGGCATGCTTACAACGATGACGGGTCGGAAGACGGTGCCTTTCATGTCGGCGGTTATCTTGTCGCCGGGTTGGAGGTCGGTTGGGATACGGTCTGAGGGCTCGAGGGGTGTGAGTGTCCAGCGATCGTTCCATGATTTGTAGTTTTGCCAATCTAGGAACTGTGGACTGTTGGCGTATTGGACACGAAAGGGTGATGAGGGACTCACGACTGCTCGGACGGTTTCTGGTGGGCTGGCGATCTCAATTGTGGTGGTGACGCTGTGTTGTTGGCCCATGTTTGCGATTTGCTTAGACTGAAGGTGAATGGGGGAGTATGGTCAAGTGGCGGGCTAAGAGATGGTGAAAGCCACGAGATGGCGTACTTATGTAGTACTTCCTCATTAGCGGCCTCGCATCTTTTCAGTCCCCGAACATTCGGACAACGACGCATATCGAGTCTGACTGGAATGCCTGACGAAGCTGAGATTGTGGTTCGTGGCGTACGAAGTAGTCGGAGGCTCGGTAGCTCAACTCCCCCGAAGGTCCGACCAATGCTCCTACCCCACGCTCTCCAGAGAATAAACACGTTCCCGCTCGCCTATCTCATTCCCATCCTTCATCTACATTTTGTACATGTCAAGCTCGTCATTCTGCGGGGCGCCAGGAACCAGGAACGTAATCGTGGAGACCCCGCAGCTTGCGCCTGGAATCGCTGCAATGTCGCAATCTCGTTTAGACATCATCGGGTTGATGCGTGCTTTCCCCCACCGGTCTTGGTACCTTTTATAGCGCGCATCTCCGCTCCTCATTCTGGAAGTGGCAAACATCTTCGAGTTGACAAGGTGTCTTGGTCGAGAGCGCCTGCCGAGGCAGACAGGATGACGTCTTCCGAGAGATATAAGGATAGAAGGGACGTGGACTCGAGCGTCTTTCATCCCAACACAAGCCGGAGCAAGCCTATCGAAAGATGTGGAAGTCCCTGGTTTCATTCTTAGCGGTTACTGCGAGTGCTTCTGCGACAGCGGTGTACGACACTGCGCCGATCGCCTGTGTTGAGAACGGTACTCTTGCGGGTGTATATTCTCCAGAATTCAAACAGGACTTTTTTCTCGGCATTCCTTATGCTCAACCACCGGTCGATAATCTGAGGTTTCGACAAGCCCAGTCCCTGAATACGACTTGGAATGGTACTCGGGATGCCAACGAATACGGACCGCACTGCGTTGGCTATGGAGTATGTTCGACCTTACTAGCGTTGCTTTGGACTCCATACTGATCTCTCCAGCTTGATCAAACCTTCTATAGAGCCTCGGAAGACTGCCTATATCTCAACGTCGTCCGTCCGTCCGGATATGAAGAAAACAACCTACCAGTCGCTTTCTGGATCCATGGTGGAGCATATACGAACGGAGGCGGTGGTGATCAGCGCTACAATCTCTCGTTCATTGTAGATCAATCCGTCGCTATTGGCAAGCCTATAATTGGTGTCTCCATCAATTACCGACTTAGTGTATGGGGATTCACAAGCTCGAATGAGCTTGCAGAAGATGGTCTGCTGAACATCGGCCTGAGAGATCAGCGTCTTGCTCTACACTGGGTACAAGAGAATATTGCCGCATTTGGAGGAGACGCTAGCAAAGTCACGATCTTTGGAGAGTCAGCAGGAGCGGCTTCGGTCGGCTTCCACCTTACAGCCTACAAAGGTCGCGACGACGGTCTCTACCGTGCAGCAATACTTCAGTCTGGCAACCCCATCTTTTACCTTCCGGTAGGCGGCCCGAATAAAACCCAGGCAGCATTCAATACGGTTGCTTCCCAAGTCGGTTGTGGATC